ATGGCGATAAGCAAACTGCAGCGGGTCCTGATATGTCCTAGTTTGCTTATTCAAGTGGAGCAACAGGAGTCTCTCCAGGACCTTCATTATGTGGGATGTCAGGGCAACCGGTCTGTAGTCATCATTGACTGATGGGTGAGTTTTCTTTGGAACTGGAACAAGGCAGGATGTCTTCCACAGGCCTGGAACCTTCCCCAGGGCCAGGCTGAGGTTGAAGAGGTGCTGCAGAATCCCACAGAGCTGCTCTGCGCATGCCTTCAGTACTCTGGGGGTGACACCATCTGGACCTGCAGCCTTGTTCCTGTTCAGTCTCTCCAGCTGCCTCTTCACCTGACTTCTAGAGACAGATAGGTGGGAGGGGGAGGTAGATGGGGCAGTAGCATCTCCTGACTTGGTTGAAGACAGATGTATAGAACCAGAAGAGTCCATGACTGTGTTAGAGGACAAAAGAGCTGGCGTGTGACAGGAAAATGTTGGATCAGAGGAGGATGGGATGTCTGATTGGCTGGGGACAGGCGAGGAGGATGCTGGGTTTGTTCCTGAACTGAACCTATCGAAGAACTTGTTCAGTTCATTGGCTGTGTCCAGGCTGCCATCTGTGCAATCCTTCCTCTGCTTGAAGCCTGTGATCTTCTTCATCCCTAACCAGACACCTCTGATATTGTTCCTCTGTAGTTTGTTTTCCAACCTCTTCCTGTATGACTCCTTGCTTTCTCTGATCTTGATCTTCAGTTGCTTCTGTATACTCCTCAATAATTCCCTGTCTCCCTCCTTGAAGGCTCTTTTTTTCTCATTTAGCAGATTCTTCAGTTCACTGGTAATCCAGGGTTTGTTATTAGCGAAGCACCTCACTGTTCTGGTTGGTCTGATATTGTCCACACAGAAGTTTATATAGTCAGTGACACATCCAGTCATGGCATTGATGTCCTCTTCATATCCTTGGCAGAAAGTCATCCAATCTGTGGTCTCAAAACAACCCTGCAGGGCTTCTTCAGCATCCTGTTACCATTTTCTCTCAGTTCTTCTTGGCACAAGTTGCCTCTGAACAAGTGGTTTGTATTCTGAGCAGAGAAAAACAAGATTGTGATCTGATTGTCCTAAGGAGGTCTCGTTTTGGACATGTGTGCATTCTTTACATTTGCATAACTCAAATCCAAGTCTTCTTTTCTCTGGTGGAGCAGCTGACAAACTGTTGAAATGTTGGAAGTGTAGCAGAGAGCGTGAGGGCATGATTAAAATCACCAGATATAGCCACAAATGCATTGGGGTGCTGGGTTTGTAGCTTAGCGACAACGGAGCTGATGGCATCACATGCATTTTCAGCAATGGCTGAAGGTGGAATATAAATGGTTGCCAAGACAACACTGGTGAACTCTCTTGGCAAATAATATGGGCGACAACTTACTGCCAAGAGTTCAACACCTGGGCTAATATTAAATAAGTTAACCACACCTTTAGGTCATACATGTAGTTCAGTACTTTGTGCAGCTGTAAGGTGATCAGAGTTTTGAAGATGATGTATCATTAAAAAAACCATTGATTTTGTTTTTGCACACGCTTGAAAATCCATCACTCATCTGGGCAAAGCCCCAGAACTTCTTCAGTCCTAAACCCGCCCCTGTTGGACTATAACATACTGATTGTCTTGTTCTCATTCTAGTTGTCATTTCAATCATTTACATTTTTTCCATGGTGTTCATTCAATTGGAAGAAAGTTTTGCAACCAGTATGCACAGAAGCAGAAATAGAAAGCAGCCCTCAATAATACACCACTACGTTTGCAAGACTCTGTTGTTCAACAGCTGTAAAGAGTTAATAAGCTTTTGTCATTCCTTGTTTTAATGGTTTAAAACTCTCCTGAAACCTCTGAGGTGCCCGGGCTTTAACGGTTTAGTAGAACATGAAAAATGTAAATATCAAACATTTTTGAAGACCTACTAGTTAAAAATTTTCTTTTTTGATATAATAAGAAGAGTTCAAGCAAGAATAAGGACAATTCTAACTTGAACAGTTTACCTTAATTTCCGGACTATAGAGCGCACCTCAATATAAGCCGTACCAACAAAAAACAGTTTTCTACACACACACACTCAAATACAAGCCGCGGCGCAGCAGCCACATGCAGGTCTCCTGCGCACAGCGCACGTATGGCCATAACATAAGATAATTAGACAGAAAGACGCTACACGGAGGATTTTCGTTGTTGTTTTAATTCAACAAAACAAATTTTAAACACTGGTGAACTGCCTGCAAGTTTAGAAAAGAAAACAGCACTGATTGCATTCTTATTTCTGGGTGCTTATAAAATAAAAACAGAACTGACACGTTATTACCGGTAATTTGCATGCATGTTTAGAAGAAAAGAACAGCGCTGACACAGCATTAATAAGCCCTGGATGATTAGAAAATAAAAACTGCACTCAAAACATGCCTGGTTAGTAAATACAAAACACTTGCCTACCAGAAGAAGTCATTCGCTCTCATCTTCCTCTTGCTCACTAAAGCCATTAAAGTCCTCTTCTTCAGTGTCGGAGTTGAACAGCCTCAGAAGAGCTTCGTCACATACCTTTTCTGTGGCAATGTCGGTGTCGCTGTCCGTGTTGCTGTCATCATCCCCGGGTGAAGCTGACTTGAATGAGTTCATCCCGCTGCCGTCTCCAGCGCCGAACCATGGATTCATTCATGCCAAGCTTACGTGCGGCAGCACTGTTTCCCTCCTTTACTGCCAGACTGATGGCCTTCAACTAAAATGTGGCAACATATGAACTCATACATGTAGTTACCATGATGAGGGGGTATGGATTAGAAAATAATTCTTCGTCGTGCCGGCTGCTTGCATGTGCTAGATTAAAATGAGCACTTTCTTCGATTTCCACTTTTGACTTCCACCTGTTTCACTTTCTACTAAAGCACCCCCTGGCAGGTGAAGGAAAATCTTCAGTAAAGCCGCACCACATTATAAGCCACATGGTTCTAAGCATGGGAAAAAAGTAGCGGCTTATAGTCCGGAAAATACAGTATATTAATTAGAGATTAGAAAACTGGAGAGATAAATTATTGTTTTAGTTTAGATTTTTCTTTAGATTTGTTTATTTACCTAATTGTCTCTGTATTTGTGGCCTTTTACATCACTTCATAATATTTGTTGCTTAACTTGGCTCCCAACACCGATTCTTCTTCAGGAAACTGTGTACATTTTTCGTAGCGACAGGGGGCAGTGGATACCGGAATTGTTGCAAGAAAGCAGTATTTTTGTGTTGAAGTAAGACCTTACCAAAGGATGCCCATTAGGGTCAAAAAGCCCTGGGGAGTGCTAACTTTAGCAAACTAGCAAGCACATCAGACTCCCTTTTATCACTGGCAACAATTAAAGAGGTAAATGTGTAAAACTACAACATTTAAGAAGGATGAAAGTTTTGAAAATGTTTGTTACAAATCAGTAAATGCATTTTGTCCTCATGGGCTCCTGTAGAAAAAACATGGCGTCTAATATGGCGTCGCCCAGAGACTTACCCGTTCCCATGCATTTTAGACCTGGTTTTTATGGTTATATGTTACGAAGCCACCAATATTTTTCAACAATAAGGCATCGTTTCATTCATTTTCTACAACATTTTGATGGATATTTCCAGAAGTTAATGGTAAAAACTACACTTTGTCTGTTTAAAAACTTAAAAAAGTTTCAGAAAGTTCATAGCAGTCTGAGCATAGAATGGGTGGGCGTGGCCAGCAAGCTTGTTTTCTTACTTTACATAAGAACACGCCATGCCATCATCCATCATTGCAAGGTCTCCAACAGGCACGCGAGGACAGACGGAGTGAGCCCACTTTGATAAATATCAGTCGAAAGCAACAGACAGCAAGTCTGTGATTGGTCAGGATGCCACTTCCTTTAACTTTGTCAACAGCAATGAAATAAAATAGCAAAAACAGATCAAGCAACATAGAAGAAGCAGATTGAAGAACATCTCACAGAAAGATTTTGACAATATAAACGCTCATACACCCGTGTCTGAAGGAGTACAAAGATAAGCAGCAAATATTGTGATGTGTCAGGAAATAACGGGAAACGTGATTTTTGAGGTAGTGACTAGTGGAGGTGGAGAACAAATTTATTCGCGTTAAAATATCTGAAATACATAAACACCTTAGAGACATGACTGCAATAATGACAGGATGCGCCAAAAAAAGCGTTATGCCCTCAGCTATCCTGGCAGAGAATAGCATCACAACACTGGCACACCACTGGAGGAGTATAAACGGAAAACGTCTCTGTTAGCATACGACGGAGACGTATAATAGGCTTCAACGTGACAGAGCCCTGAAACAGCTGGAAGATAATGAAAATGTCAAAATTTAAAGAGCCTAACTTGAGATTTTATGCAAAGAACGTCATAAACAGGTTTTGTTTACAAGAAATAACTCATTTTACTTTTTAAAAACTCATAATATGTCTCCTTTAAATAAGGGTTTATAGATAAATGGGCTGCATGGTTGCGCAGTGGTTAGCATTGTTGCCTCACAGCACGAAGGTTGCAGGTTCGAAACTGGGCTGCGGCCTTTCTGTGTGGAGTTGCGTGTTCTCCCCATGCATGCGTGGGTTTCCTCCGGGTACTCCGGTTTCCCCCACAGATCACAACATGCCCTATAGGTTATAAATTGTAAGTCGCTTTAGATAAAAGCGTCTGCCAAATAAATAAACATAAACATAAAGTGTAACGTTTTTTCCTCGACCCCAATCATCTCATTCTTTGGTTTCATTTCCCTATAATTAAGTTATGTAGTTAACCCTTTGTTATTCATTTTACTTTAGGTAATATTTTGAAAAGCCTTTTTGTAAATGAACCAAAAATAAAACAGATTAAAAGCTTCTATATTTTTTACAGTGCATCACCTTCCCTGTCTGCCCGCTTCGCCTAATCTCCATCCTTATTGGTTCAAGTTTACGTCAGTCAAAGGTTGTGGGCGGGACTCAAACAATCCACTCGTGCTCAGCTGTGCTGTAGACTGTGCGCCACAGCAGACCAGGAGCAGTGCAGATCCTGTTATCAGAGGAGCACGCGTCTCCGGCGTAAAGCTTTACGGCTGCTTCTTTTTTACATTAGTTTTTATTTCCCAGAGTTCCACAAACTGAGTGTACCTTTCTGTTCTCCTGATAACACCCAGACGATTATTTCTGAGGATATTTAGATTTTTGAAAAGAAAGAAAGAAGCAGAAACAGACTACGTGAGGTGAAGTCGGCTGTGTTTTTCGCGTCTCCAAGATACGCACTCCAAGCAGGTCCACCTGGATAGCTGATAACCAAGCCGTTCGGCGCGGTTCGGTTTGTTCAGAGGGTCCTTAGGGGAGAGGAGAGAATAACGTGGAAGACCGGGAGCAAGGGGGGAAAGGAGAAGACGGCAAGATGAATCTGAAGAGCAATTTGATTTTCACCCTCTACACTGTTTATGGGATTCTTCTGAAAGGTGAGCGCATGCAGGATGAGTGGTGCGCGCCTGTTGTGAATGAGCTTGAAACGCGTGTGCGTGAGCGCATGGTCCAGGCCAACTGCAGGGCAGGATGAAGAGGGCAAAACGCGCGGTCACACACACAGGCTAGTGAAAAATGGTGATGATGATGAGCTTCCTCTTGTTTTGTCACGCACGCGCACGCCCAGTGCCTATTATTTAATAAATAAATACATGTGCGTGCCCTTAATCTGTTTGTCTGCAGACGCGCGTGACGTGTGCCACAGCAGGAGGACAGGGCTGTCCTGTCCAGACTCTGGGTCTGCTGGGTGGTGATGATGCAGGATGGGCTGGGGGGGGGGGGGGGGGGGGGGGGGAATGCACTGAACTGGAACTAGGCGCGTCATCCGGCGTCTCGTGCGTTATCCTGTTATGTCCTGTGCACGAACAGACACACCTTGCTGAGAAAATCCCCATCCTCGCGTCCGTTTTAGACTGCTACTCTTGGATGATTTACGCACGGACGTGTTGGGTGTTCTTGCGGATTCCGGTGAAACCTCATTAAGCCTTTTCAGACTTTTTCTATTGTTCTATTAAAAAAACCAAGAAGGACTTGTGTTTTCTTTAAGGGCAGCTTGTCTGTCTCCCCTCAGTCAACTCATGTTGGCAGCGTTTTGTGAGTTAGTTCTCCAGTAAATCCTGAAAAGTTTATTTTTTCCTGACAGCAGCTGGTGGTATTTATGTCCTCCCCTCAGACAGAACGTCATGGCTCTTTCATAGCAAAGCTGTGTCACTGATTCCTGCAGATCTGGGGAAAAATGAAGGGACTGAATGATTTTGGTCACATTTGAACTACTTGGCTGATTCTGACAAGAACGACTCCGAGCAGCAGTCAGGCGGCAGGTGATCCAATTGCTGTAAACATGGGAGGGAGCAGGGAGGAGGGGAGGGGGGTGATTAGGGCGTGGAACTGGGGTACAAGGTCACCGTTGCTGAGCTGCACTATTAACTCATTACCTGTGAGTAACTGTTTGTACAAGGGATTAGTGTTTTGTTGGCATTTGGGATTACGCATGGTAAACACTCGATGGGTTTTTGCTTCTAAGATAGCTTGATTGCAAATGGCTACAATAAGAAAAAATATGTAAGTGCATTTCAGAATAAAATTATTGGTGACGTTCAAGTCAGGTATATAAAAATATTCATAATGTTTTAGGATATTGAAGAACGTACATGCTTTCTTGTTTGTTTGTTTTTTTGGTCTGGTGAACAATGATGAGATTGTAAATGCATTTTTTATTAAAGCTATGCACTTAATCAAATTTCTATTTCAGTTTTGATTTTTACTTCTAACTAACTAAAGCAATAATCAAGACTTATATTAAATGCCCTTACTTCCTGATTGATGTACGATGTGCAATAAAAGGCCACCCTGGAATGTGCAGTTTTGTGCTTTATTGGGGGTCTGGGGACTCAGAACCGGTCAGTAGGTGGTGTGACCACCATTTCAGTCAGGTCAAGACCCCGATGAGGACGATGAGCTTGCAGTTGAGCTTTCCTGAGACGGTTTCTGACAGTTTGTGCAGAAGTTGTTTGGTTATGCAAACAATTGTTTCAGCAGCTGTCTGAGTGGCTGGTCTCAGACGATCTTGGATGTGAACCTGCTGGATGTGGAGGTCCTGGGCTGGTGTGATTACACGTCATCTGCGGTTGTGAGGCCGGTTGGATGTACTGCCAAATTCTCTGAAACACCTTTGGAGATGGCTTATGATGGAGAAATGAACATTCAATGCACGAGCAACAGACCTGGTTGACATTCCTGCTGTCAGCATGCCAATTGCACGCTCCCTCAATGCTTGTAGCATCTGTGGCATTTTGCTGTGAGACAAAACTGCACATTCCAGGGTGGCCTTTTATTGTGGGCAGTATATGGTATACCTGTGCACTACTCATGATGTCGGATCAGCATCTTGATGTGGCACACCTGTGAGGTGGGATGGATTATCTCAGCAAAGTAGAAGTGCTCACTATCACACATTTAGACGGCTTTGTGAATGATGTTTGAGAGAAATGGTAATATTGTGTATCTGGAATGAATTTTATATCTTTAAGTCCATCTCATGAAAAATTGGAGCAGAAACAAAGGCGTTGCGTTTGAGTGTATATAAGAATACTTAGAAGGAAAAGACAGGTCACTATGAACAATCTAGTGTTTGTGCCTTGAAACTCTTATTTTGAAAAGTTGCATCACAAAGAGATGAATGAGATTTCAGTAGGATTATGACATAATCTATAACGTTTTCAGTAGTCCTTTATTTTCTTTTGGCCGTAGCGACTTCACGGGTAATTTAGTGAGACAAGTTTCCTCTGAAGCTAATCGGGTGTCGCGTGCCTCTAAAATCTGCCCGGATGTCCGGGTTTGGTGAACAAACTAGCCTGAGGTCCAGCCCTTTTCTGCAGCCAAGTAGAATAAAAATGTTGAGTGTTTGAAGATAACCAATAACAACATGAAAGGCAAAATTAGCATCATCTTGACTTTAGCCGCAATTCTCCACAAGAGCGAAGACAAAAACTGCAGATGAGAGGTTATTCCTTCTCGATTCCCTTGATCGTTTGTTGTTGCCCTTTTGAAGTGCACTGTATGTGAGACAAAGAGGACTCCTTTCATTAATAACCAAACATGATTAAGGCCATTCTTGACTTAATAAATTGGCACGTAATGAGGTGTCGTAGGGTGTATCTGACAGCTTCCTCGCCACAGTTTATTGATGCTCTAGAGTCTTTTTCCTCTTTATTCTCTGAAGGACATTGGGCTTGTGATGAGTATCTGCATGTGTGGTTGTGTGTATGTTCATGTACATTCCTGCAAATGTGTTGTGTGTTTGTGTAGCTGATGTTTGAGGAGGCCTAAGCAGGCGGCGAACATCGCACACAATCACACGGGTCTCCTTCCCTCTTGTCTTAACCCTGAAGAGGATAATACCAGGCTGCCTGATTTGAACAGTCATCTCTTGGCTCGAGGCCCATAATTGCATAGGTTCTGCACAGCAGGCAGGTCGGCCTCCTTCCGAACGAGGTCTATCAAGGAAAAAGATGTGGCCTATCCTCTCTCTCTATAAATGACAGCTGTTTCGGGCCCTCTGGCCTTGAGCCAGCTGGCATCAAGAGATCCGAAGACACTAAATCTCTGTCACTGACCAGACCCGCGCCACATATATGTGTGCTTGTGAGGTGTTGTGATGGAGGTCGTTGTTTACCAACAGCATGGGTTGTTAACATATTATGTAGAGTGTCTCATGTGCCCATGCTGGAGCCAGAGAAAACAGCCTGTTGTGCAAATGGTCCTCTTACATAAGAGCTCAGGGCTGAGCAGTAGGCGACGGCAGGTGGAGGCTGGGAGAAACGCAGAAGTAGGGAGATGTTCCGGAATCAAGGAGCTGATAGAGTACTGTGGAAGCCGAGGTGTGGAGGAGGAATGTACAATCTCTTAGAATAACGTGTTTGTGTGTAAGATGCACGCCGGCTGCTGTGTGCTCTACGGATGCTTGTTTATCACTGCTGTTCTGTCTGTTTCCTGTCGCGTTGCTGGCTTGGCAGTCGGTCTGTTCTGAACTCTGATCTTGCTAGCCTAAATACAAACTCCCGCTGAGGAATGTGTTTATCCCCGCCGTGAGACTAAGCTGCTAAAGGTTGACCCTCCATCCCTCTATACTTCCGTCCATTCCTCCCTCACTTCATCCTCCCATCCTGGTGTGGAGCTTTGTACCACAGCAGCGTGGGAAAGCTACTGATAACAAGCTGCCTTGTGTGTGTGTGTGTGTGTGTGTGTGTGTGTGTGTGTGTGTATGTCGCTGATTACACGAGAGAAACAAGATGCTCCCTCTTTTCTTGCTTACTTGTGATTTCCCTCTCATTTTCGTGTGTGTGTCTGCAAGTGTGTTTGTTTTCACATGGCAAATGTTCGCTGCTTTGCACCCTGGCGATGAAACGTCAGCTCTGAGAATCGTCTGTAGTGCTGCCTCGATGTGCATCACACAGGCACATGCATACACACATGGAGCTCCTCTGTGGGTTCATTGCAGCCCCGCCAAGGGATTTCCCATGATCAAAGCCGGTCTTTTGTTAGTCCAGGTGTTGAAAAAGTTAAAACAGAAAAGAGGAGGAGGGGGAGGCAGGGGGAGAATGTGGTGGGATTCAAAGCTTACAAGCTCTTCCTGGCAGAGCAGAAATATACCTCGCTAACATGGCTCCAGAAGCTTTTTCAGTGACTCCAAATTCAGGTAGAAGGCTGTAAGAAAGTGAACCCTCTGGAGGCAGGCGTTGCAGATTTGTAACAGTTAAAACCGACCTACCTGCTTACTCCACATACGTGTTTCATGAGCATTTTTTAACTCAGAAGTACCCCTGAAGGACTTAGTTGTTCGTCCTTTTATCAAAACTTATTTTGAGCCTGAATGGGTTAAAGCAAGCAGAGCGGTGCATTGGTACTACTCCGTGGTAGCTCTATTACCCTGCAGCGATTTGGTTCTCCCTGTGGTTGTGCTTCTTTCTCTGGGCACAACAGAACAAAAACACTCATGTTAGGTTAATTAGTAACCAAAACAGCTCTCGGAGGGAATGTGTGGCGGAATGGTTGTTTCTATGTTTGTCTTTGTGATAAACTGGTGACAAGAAGATATAAAAATAGAAGGACGGATACATCTTTCCTTTAGAAAAAGTACAGGTGATGTAAAACGTGACCTTTTGCTGCACAGTGGAGACTATACACATAGACACGAGTTGTGGGGAAAAATGTAGAGCTTCCGTGATCAGTACAAATAAATAACAACGTTTTGTATTTATTACGTTTGTGGTGAAAGCAGCAGCTAAATGTTTAGACTTCTGCAGATGACCATGTTCCTGGACTTTGATGAGTTGGCCCAGCCTGCATCCATAGATGGGCCTCATATGGATATATATGGGCAAACCTTATGAGTGCCAACAGGATTCATCCGCGGTTTCCATGGTGACCCCACAGG